CAGGAGGAAAAGAATAGAGAGGCATGTGAGCCTTTTTTCAAAAATCTGATGTATGCAATGATGTAATAGATCAATAATAGTGAGTTTGAATTATGTATAAATAGAGGTATTTGGGAGAGAATGGATCATCTCGAGTTAGAAACCATTCTCTTTCCTTAAGCTTTTTTCAAAACCAGTTTTTCTGGAAACCCCTTGTATACAATAGAAACCTTGTATAAATTATAGAAATAAAATTTCAATCTTTTGATATCAGAAAGATATGAGTTTCTAAATTTCCTATCCCATAGATTCTTGATAGATTGAAGAAAATAATTTCTTTCTTACTTTAACAAAGAAAGAATTTTCTTTACTTAAGATCTTTACTCTTAATTCTAAGAAAAGATACAGTAAGGGCAAGAAGCTGAAATAGCAGAATTCCCATTGAGGCAAGAGGCCGTTTAAGGGAGCAGTTTGCAGATTCAGAGCCTGAAGGTCACTCGATTATAAGAATACAGATTTAAGATCAAAAGTAAGGTAAAATTATTGTCTTTGTTAAATTTAGCAATTATAGAAATAAAATCTCAATCTTTTGATATCAGAAAGATATGAATTTCTAAACTTTCTATCCCATAGATTCTTGATAGATTGAAGAAGATAATCTCTTTCTTACTTTAACAAAGAGAGAATTTTTCTTTACTTAAGATCTTTATTCTTAATTCTAAGAAAAGATACAGTGAGGGCAAGAAGCTGAAATAGCAGAATTCCCATTAAGGCAAGAGGCCGTTTGAGGGAGCAGTTTGCAGATTCAAAGCCTGAAAGTCACTCGGTTCTAAGAATACAGATTTGAGATCATAAGTAAGGTAAAATTATTATCTTTGTTAAATTTAGAAAGAATTCTTCTAATATCTTGAAAGAATCGTAGGGATTATTACTGTTCATGTTTGCAAAAAATTTATCTAAATATGTTATTATTCATAAGGCTTGCAAGGAATTATTTGAATAATGCCAGGTTATACAATTAAAGGATTAGATAATCTGCTAGACAGATTAATGGAAAAAATAGAAAATATTTATTCTCAATTAGAGATTATGGATATATTATCGAAGGAATTTGATAATCTTAGTAAATTACATGACAATTATATTACAGATTATGCTAATTTATTAGATCAAAGGATGAAATTATATATTAAAACTCGAAATGAGAGAAATAGAGGAATTTAAAACTATCCCAATAAATTAAGGATATCTTGTGCAATATATGATAAATTATTTCATTAAGGGTATAACAGACATTTTACCAAGAATGAATAGTAGTAGGTCATTTAGGAAAATTCCCCTCTTCTTCTTCCTCATTACACCCCCAAACCCCGCACCCCACCTTACGCCACCCTCTCCCACCAAATACCACCAAACCCACAACAAATTATTACAAAATTTTCTGCTACTCTTACCTGAATATTCACAAGATTCAAAACCCATTTTAAAAAAAAAAATCAAAATTAACATTTGGAATTTAATTTCCCACAGCCATTGAAACTTGCAGCTTCAGTTTTTGATATGGTTGTTGCTTGTCTAGCTAGTCTAGATCCGACATTTTGTGGGGTTCTATGGACACTGTAAACTAACGGGTTACTGAATGGTTTTCTCTACGAATGTGAAAAGTGTGAAACTCCATTATCGGCAAATGGCCATCGCTAATTCGAACATAGCAAATCATTAGCCTAGAATATTTATTTCTTATCTTTATACAGGGGCAAACAGAATGAATATACCCTTAGCTACAAATTTTGGCTCAGTGAAGAAGAAGCTAAAATTGAATACCAAAATCTCAGTTTTGGTGAATACGAAAATTGGAGGCAAGGGTTAAATTGGTGATTGTGGTGTGAGATAGGAGAAGGAGATGATGGATTTTAGGATGTTGCGATGGCAGCGGTGGCTCGTTGGAGGTGGGGACGACAATGGCGTGGATTCGATCTGGTATTTGGTGGCGTGGGGGTAATGGGAGTGTAGTAAGGAAGAAGAAACATTTTTCCTTTTTTTATTTTATTTTTTTTATAATGTTTTTTAATTGGTTAATGTGGTCAATAGAAAGTTATCATTTTGCCTTTTTAAAATTGATTAAAAGGTGGTCAAAATTTATTTTTATGGCGAACTAATGGCATTTTAGACAAAAAAAAACCATCCAAAAGGTTTGGAGTGACAGTTACAATAAATGAAAGGTTAGAAAAAAGTCTGCTTGTGTTTAAAAGGTTTGAAACTTCTACTACAATTATCCCTTTATATTATTAGAGATGACAAAATAACCCGCCCTGCCCTGTTTCGAATGCGGCCAAAAAAGCCCGTCCCTACAAGTTGGCGGGGAGGCATTAACAAAAAAAGGAAGCCAAAGAAGAGTTGAACCCATTAAATACATATACATACATAAAAAATCAGAGACAAATTCGAAAAAATTGAAGTGGGTTTGAAGGCATTGTGGTTCAGATTTGAGATTTTCATATCTGTAAAATGAAGGGCTCCCTTCGTGCTAACCCACATCTGACATCTAATTCATTTCCATAATACCCACAAAAGTTAGAGATATTTAGCTCCAGAAAGGTAAAATTCACCCCCAAAAACATCAAAATAAGGATAGAAATAGAAATTTTTAGGTGAAAGATTGATTGAAATGGAAGAAAAACTTAATGTTATTGAAAAAGAAATTTTTGAAAATGTAAATATTAAGGAAAAAATGGGGGACAATAAACGGGGCAAGCCCAATTCCTAAATTTATTAACCTATATTTTGAATATCTCAGAAAATTCCACGAAAAATCGTGCCTTTGCTTATATATAACAGTATTTCCAAATGATTTCTATGTTATTGTGGATTGCTGTTTGTTGTTATTACTGAGAAATTCATCCGGCTACTACAGAAGGAAATAGAAAATTAAACCAGCGGCTCTTAAGCGTAGCAAACATGCTATAATCTTGAAAAGGCAGCTCACAAAAATCCTTGAATAGTGTCCAATTTTATTCCTTTGCTAAAGACAAGGGTCACACCCACCCCCAAATAGACCAACTAATCCTACGGGTATCGGTATATATTATTCAAATCCATAGCAAATAGAAGAAAATCATGACTACACTTCATCAGGTAATGACACCGTTTCAGCAAATTATGACATCAAAATTCCCATAAAGGATCTGAAGCTGCAAAGTTGGATTGGATATCGCGGTGCCTCTTCAACTTTAAATATCCAAGTTACCTTTTTCTTCATTGTTGTATCTTATGCAAAAACTGGAGTCAATAAATAAAATCGCATCAAGTGTTCATGGCCTATTAGAAGTAGAAGGCCCTATTACGAAATCTTGATGAATGGAAAAGATTGCATTCACTTTGACGAGAATGAGTACCACCACTTCTCCTGAAATCCTTAGAACAAAATTTCTTACATCGAATAAAAATCTACTAGATTTTCACTTAAATAACCTTGTCATACTCTCAAGAATCTAGCTCCAAGTAGATATAACATTGATATAAAAGTCAATTTCAATGGTATTTCCTTAGCTGAGTCACACGCAATAGGCACTTGGGGCAATGATGAGCAAACACTAAACAAAGAACAAATGTGTCAGGTAATATAAATGGCACAAGTAGATTCCAAAAGCTAAACAACAGATACATAAGTCTTTTTCCTAAGCACGAAGAGCAAATGGCACAAGTAGATTGGAAGAAACTTCAGAACCTGAAAGTTATTAAAGATGCAAAGTTCTAAAGTGACCAGTTCATATGCTGGACAGAAGAATTAAAACCCCTGGACTGCTGGTACTGTCCTCTGCCCATCTCGAGCACACTGGAATGCTGACTGTTACCAGGCCACAAAACTTGACCAAAACCAAGAACAGGAGGCATCTCATGCAAACTGCTACTGACTTGGTTGCCCCGCGAGGAGACTAAAAAGTGAGTAATGGGTGCACTGTGGGTAATGAATGGTCGAACCAGGGGTGTCCCATTGACACCAAATGAACTATTTATCCCATGACTGGACGAATGGTTTATTGAGTCCCATGGTTGATTTGACAGAACAGAGCGAGCACTGCTGGAATCCGAGACTCCATTGTAACATTCTTCTGAAGATACTCCAGGACCCAAACAAATTGTTTGGGTTGTTAAACCTTGCTGAAGATCAGGTGGGGGATTTTGCAAATCCTGCCATGTAGGTGCAAGCTTTTCTGTCATCGTAACTTGATTGCCCACGACTCGTTCAGACGACATTGTGTTTGTCCATGAATCCCTCCTAGTCAGAATCGGGTTTGAAGCAAACTCCATCACAAAGCCTCCACTTCTGCCACGGTTTTCTTGCAAGGCAAATATCAATCATATGAACTCAGTTTCTTCCAAAAAAGGAAATTAATCAAAAATTGGGAATGAATGTTTTGTGAAAATATTAGCACAAAAAGGATTCCTCAGAAGTTGAGTCCACGATATCTAACCAAATATGGATGAAGAAAGATTTCCATAGCGAGTGGATGATAAAGATCCAAGTGGTGGCTTCCTCCTACGCTCATTGTGCCCTGCAAGTCGTCTGCGGCAACTCCGTTTTCCTTGGTCAAATTCGGGCAATTGATGAAATCTGGGAAATAATAATTCAGAAGCTATCATCGCACATTAATTGATGCCATAAGACCTCAGAAATCATTGTCTAGGTTAAAATAAAATCCCATAAGAGTATATTGCTGAAAGCGTATGAAACTTTGCTTATTTGTTCACTTCCCGAGCAATTATTGTTCAGAGACACTTGGGGATCACAATATACCAGCTAAGTCCTAAAAACCTCAGAGCTGATAGTAAGAAAATTGGTATGCCAGCTAAATCCTCCTAAAAACCTCAGAGCTGATAGTAAGAAAATTGGCATACCAAGCCAGCCGTGTACTTCTATCATAGGAAACAAACATTCTAATACCAAACAGGTCACATTAATCTTTGGAAACATTCCAAATATCTCTATCAGATACAGATTGTGGCGCTGAAAGTGTGGAGAGGACAAACTAAAGCAATGAAATCTCGCCAACTTTACCATCTTTTAATTGATCTAAATTCAAAATGGCTGCAAATTATGAAAGTGTGGAGAGGACAAACTAAAGCAATGAAATCTCGCCAACTTTACCATCTTTTAATTGATCTAAATTCAAAATGGCTGCCAATGTAATTTGCAGCCGAGTGAACAAAAAACACATGCATATATATAGTTCCTGAACCCATTTTACCCCACACAGAAGAAACAACACCCTATTTCAGAAGGGTTGAATAGCTATGCTAATTTTCTCACAAGAAATTTTAATAATTCCAAGGCTGCAAAGAGAAAAACAAAGTTGTGCCTACACTCTTATTAATGGAGAATAACTTCAATATTCGAATTTAGAATATAGTGTGAGTTAAAATTAGCCTCACAAAGACCTATAGTTCAAAGCTCCATATGACGGTGGAGTCATGGAATAAAGAGATGCCAAAACTAACAATTAACAAAATGAATTTTACTTATATTCTTGTCACAACAGTTATTTTGGAGTTTGCATACAACATAGATTCCCTTTTTTTCCTCTCAAACATTCAAGAAAACAGACATGATCTTTTCTCAAGATTTTCCTTGTCTTTTCTTGAGTGAGAAATTTGTCAAAAAGAGTTCGAAAATATACAGAAGAATTTCTTTAGGCCAAGCAGATACTTTAGTGCACCCATTTTATTTTTCTTTTTTTTTTCCCTTATTTTCCAGTCAGATTCTTTCATCGACACAATACATTGATACCTAACAACCCCTGTAAAGAAAATAATTCCCGAGTGATGAAATCGTAGTCCCTAGATCCTTCGAGAAGTCATTTTCAATACTATTTACGCAACCAAAATTAGACTTCTCTAGATATCACATCAACTTGCCATATGTTTTATGCCATGCACCACACACACACACACACACACATATATATAAAGTAAAAAGTAACGTAAGTTCATCTTATTATATGGAACTATGTTCCCACATGACTGACCATCACAGTAAACCATTAGATTTTCCTAAGTTCCACCGGCTCTCACAATCTTCCTCTACTGAATATCATAATTAACAAGTTATATCTGGACTTCATGGATGTTTAACAAATGATATATTTAGGTTTTATGTCTAAAATAATGAGACCTATAGCTACTTTACTCCATTTTAATTCTCTGCAATGACTCGTACATCCATTCTCCTTTCTTATCTTCCATGTCCTCCCTAACTGGGGATGCTAGCACTGGACCCAATCATTGCCAGGATTCTAAATGGAACATCCCCTTATCATGATTTAAGCTATTTGTTTTCCTTATTTTCTTCATTCTTCCAGTTCTTCATGTTGGGCTGCTTAATGTGTGTCACATCCCAGCAACCTAAAACAAGAAATAGTCAAACACTAATGAACACAAGTATGATTGTGCGAACTTTTGTAATCGTACGGTGAGATAATACTGAAGCTACATCCTTTACAAGATGTGGAAGTACTAAATTAACTACATGGAGCGTTTATCACATTTTATACACAAGGTTAACTACATCAGAGCTCAAATTTGTCCATCTGTCCAACACATTTGGCTAATACTGATACAACAACTAACAAATGGGGATATTATTTTAATTCTACACACTTATTGACGTAGGATGCATGAAGAGAGTTATGGGAGAAGAGGAAATGGGAGAGAAGAGAGATAGAACGAGGGAGGTAGAATGGGAGGAGCGTTAGACAGTCTGAATGGAAGAGATGATAGAATTGAGGCAAGGAAATATCAATTATTCATTCATTCAAATGTTATCCTTATTACAATGCCAAAGATCCCTTTATAAAGATTCTATTATAAGAAAGAAATATCTAATAAAAGCAAGTAAATAAGCCCTAACAATGTTTCCTAAAATATGTTTTAAAACTGGAAACTAAATATAATAAAATCTCTTCTAATATTGCATCATTTCTCCTTGGCTGAGAAGATTTGACTCCGAAGAGATAGACTCTGACTTCCTAACCAAGGAAGGCAATCCTTCTTCCGGACCAGGTAACAGAACCAATCATTGGACAACTGAATCTGACTATCAATCCCAAAAATCTAAATTAACCAAGGTGGACGATCTTCCCTTTTGAGCAAGAAGCGATAAAGAACTCCAAGACATGATAAGTGCAACTTATCCACAAAAGTGACTACAATATTCATCTGAGGAGCACGAAACACTAGCACTGTAATCTAGCTTGCAGAAACAAATAAGTGTAATACTAGCGGCTCAAATGTTCCTCGAGAAGTAAATAATTCTCCTGTATCGAAAACTTAACTTCACACAAGTGTAAAGGCTAGTCCAAAGGATTAAGTTCAAGTGAGTGTTCCAATTTATTCGTTACATATTTGGGAAACTGTGCTAAAGAAGCACATAACAAGGCATAAATATCATCATGAAAATATTGGTGCCTAAAGTGTAAGTCAAATGCAATTTCATAATCGTCACGACTGAAAACAGATCAACATGAAAGGTGTGTAATATAGTGGACACGAGATTTAGGACATCTGAAATGTTTGACTTCGATGGCATGGCTTTAGGTACTTTCCCAATTATGTCAATGTTAAGTATATCGGCCACAGATGTGGTCAAAGTAGGGGATACAATACACTGTTCACAACTTTTGATTTCTGTGAAAATGGAGTAAAGAACTGTACTATAATAATCTAAACAAACCCCTAAAGATTTTATAGCTCATGAAAAGTAAGGTTTGATCTTATTAGCACACTTCTCAAAAAGTATTTCCAACACACTAAATGCTTATTTTGAACACTATCTAGAAGAAGGGTAATCAAATCTAGAGGAATATTATCACTTTCTTCCAATGTAAAGATCGTGATAGTCTCTATGGATGTAAAGACATTTCCTAAATAATTTCCTTTCAGCGCTACAAGAAAGTGTTGGAACATGTCAATTATCGTACGTTCACAATCTAGGTCAAACATGATAAGGCAGTATTTCACATTAGCTATTGTATCTAGTATCCTAAGTGCCGTAGCATACAAATTAACGGATGTGCTCGTGAGATACGCAAATGATGTTATAATCAATGGAAATATATCTTGCATTATTGCATCACAAAAAGAGAAATTAGGTGCTATAATGCAGAATATTTCACCAGGCAAGAAATAACTGCTACTCGTATAGCAAATTCAGGATGTGTTAATAGCTCATTTGAAATCAGTGCCATACTAAGTGTATTAATGGATGTGAGCATGGAAACAGAAGGCAATTGGTCCACTCGTAAAAGCAAATACTCAGTGTGTTCAAGTAACGATAGTAGTTCATTTGAAGGCAACGAAAATTGAAGAAGTTTTCGTCCATTTGTCAACAAGTAAACTCCTAATGTTTGATATTGATGCCATAACATTTTTCCCCTTTTAAAGAAACAGCCCAAAACACTTAAATCAAAAGTAAAACTTTCAATGCAAAAGACATTGATACCTGACGAGACTCAAAAGAGTCAAATGATATACCATTCACGAATTTCATGTTGGCACAATTACGGTGGCAAAATGCTACTGAATCATCTGAGGGAATGTCAGTCAACAGAAATAAAAGATCACTTGCGAATAAAATTAGAATTTTTTTTCTTTTTTTTTCACTTTTCCCTTCTCTTATTTTTTTCTCTGTTCTTTTTCTTTTCTTTTTTTTTTTTTTAAAATAAAGAGACAAACGAAATACAAACAATCTAAAACCCTATATAATAAAACATGTTTATAAATTAGGCCCAAAACTGGGCCCATTTCAACTTCAAACAGAGGACTCGACACGGGCAGAGAAGCTGGCAGCGAGTGATTGGAGTAAAGGTACATCAGCGTTGGTGTGTGCCTTTTGGGTTAGGTGTGGTATATTGACGATGATGGGTTATCGGGTCATCGATGCCGACATTGAGTCAAGTGTTTTTTTTTATTTAGGTTATATAATGCAGCTTTCAGATGCGTAAGGTAGGTTGTGATTCGTAATTTTGGGTTTCTAGTGTTGCTGTGGTTTATTGCTAGGGTGGGGGCGGAAACATGTAGTGGGTAGTGGGCGATTTTTGTGGTGAGTGGGTTTTGTGTATTTTTGGTAGTAGGTTTGTGAGGTGGACAAGGTGATGGCTTGGGCAGGTAAAGGTTGGCGGTTGCAGCGAGTGAAGCTAATTGCGGCAGCGACTTAAATCAAGTTCGGTGTGATGAGAATTTTGGGTAGTGGGAGGTTTTGTATATGGTAGTTTTAACTGCAACTTGTGGGTTGATAAAGATGGTGATTGATTATTGTAGCAGGGGATGAAGTTTGAAGATGATGATACTGGGATATGCGGGAAGATGACAGGAAAATGATATCCAGGTTTGACTCTGATACCACTTTGATCTAGGATAGATTGAGGAGAAGAGGTAAGAAGGTGAGAAGAAGCAAGAAGGGGAGGGGAAGAAACAGAGCAGCAGTAGCAGCAGGAGACCAGGAAAGAAGAACAGGAAATTAGAGGAGAAGAAAACTATTTCATTTAATTTCTCAATTCATCATCTCATTTTCAAGCTTCATTACCATCCTTTAAAGAAGCAAAACAAACCTAAAAAACA